TATACAAGCCTATAGAATTAAATGTCAACATTCAAACTCGACCAAAGGTACCAACTTTAATATTGCCTTATGCTCTGTTAATATATATACTAGTACAGAAACAGGCTTTTATATCAAACTGTCCATTAAAACAGTTTATTCAATTTATACTCCTCAGAAATAAGGCTATTATATGCTTGAATGCATATGTATCAAATTTTTTCTTTAAATAAGGGTTCTAATCAGTTCACATTCTTAGTAATGATAATCTCATGTTGCAAACAGCATAGCACCCTCTGGTGCATTTGTTATAATATATACAAAATTTTCACAAAAGGAGAGATCAGAGTAAAAATAAACCTTAGAAATCAATAGGTTGACACTCCTTTATTTACACAAGTACGTATTTAAAACATTAATGCTTAAAACAATTTTTAATAAAAAAAGAGCCCTAAGAACTATAGCACAATAGAAGCAAGTCAGAAAATGTTTGTCAGAAAATATTTCAAATAATCAATGAGTAAAAACCAATTCCAACATTGATCATTCAAAGTAAAATACCATGCAGAGAAAAGTTTGCTTGTTTTTTTTTTAAAGACAGGGATGATGAAACTTGTCACCTTAACCAAATTTCAGTTCATTCAAATCCTATTTGACTTTTTGCTTCAGTTAAATTTGTCATGAAACATGCTCTGTGTATTTTCTCTGGATTCAAAAGAAATTTTTTCATTAAGTCTAATAAAATGCTTAAGTGTTGAGTTAAAGGACTGGCAAATTGAAAATAGAATGACTCAGAAAAAACTTAGGTTAGTTAAATTACAAACCTTGATTAAATATAGTTCCAATTTTTTACTTTATAAAAGCATCTTCTAAGGAAAATAACAGAAGTCTATCTTACAAAGGACAAAAACAAAAGATGCCACCTGCTTTAGACAACTCTTGTGAACCACCAAAATTCCCAAAGCACAAAAATTCACAAAGCATAGAAGAAATGATGGAAATGACACCTGTTTAAAGCAACCATGAGTCCCTAACACACTAGTTCTAGCCAAATTGATTCCCAAAACACGGGAACACTATGCACCTGTGAAGAGAGGGAAATTTAAAAATCATTTTAAAATAGTAACTTTGCTTGTGTGTACAAACACCATGATGCCTAGTCAAAAGTATCCCAAGAGAAACTATTAGTAGACCGAATTTTTCACCTAAAAAGGTTCTGCATAAAAGCAACACAAAACAAGCAACAGAAGCTTCATAATTTAAGTTTTACTTCTTAAAGTTTCTCCAAAATTTAGAAGTTTATTTCTTTGTAGTTACATTGTTCTCAAGATAGATAGAAAACACAAAAACAAAGAAACATTATTACACTGTTTGGATACTTTTTTGTTAATGTTTCTCATCTCCACCATTTGAATGCTATATCCAGGCTTTTAAACATACATACGGTTTATAAAAAAAAAAATTATATCCACCTACTAATTTCCTCTGATGAAAGTTTGGAGGAAAACGCAGACAAGACATCCACATCTCAAGGATAATGAAACACGTTACAACACACAATTTCATTTTATAATACATAGCATCTATCTTACATACAGTTCATTCTATTAAGTGCTCACTTTAAACAAAATTATCGACATTAAATTTATTTAGGATAAAATAACTTGGGGATTTAAGTATACTCAATTTACAAATTAAAAAATCTTTAATCACCACCTAAATGGCTTAGTTATGAGATTATTAGCATACTCTAGAAATATTTTTAAGTGTATGGAATATGACCCCCTAGACCAAAAACATGGATTGTTCAATGAAGCATATTAGAATGCGATGTAGTTCACTATATACTACATACATAGGGATATTTATTTCTTTAAATTCATAGGCAAAATCCAAGAAAGCTGGTAGGTATTATGATAAGAAACAAATCACAGATGTTCAGCTACTCAGAACAAGTTGTGTTTAAGTTATTTCAGGTTAAATTGTTATCTAACAGCTGAAGTGTTAGAAGTGCAGTCACTTTCTTCTATTAGTCTATAAAGTGCAAACACAAAAGAAGATATATAGTAAAATCTCTCTAGTAAAAAATATCACAGGTAATATCTGATGTTTTTAAGGAAATGCTAAGTATCTCGTGTCAAAACTTCTCAGTTATTTCTGGTTATAGGAGCCTATCCATCTGAATAACGTTAACATACTCGAGACAAATCTCTAACCAAAACTTATATACCGCAGAAGTGCTCTGAAGAATGGATCGATAATAATTCAATTTAGGTTCCGCTTTCAAATCAGCTGTGAAGAATGAAGATCTAAATTATGGAAAATATAAATCAAGTTGTAATGAGTAATGAGTTTAATGAGTGAAATGCCTCAAAAAAGTCACTGCACACCGCAAATGAAAATACTGAACCACGATAGCTAATAATCTACTCAGCTGAACATCTATTATGTAAATGGCAGGATGTCTGAAGCTGTCTCAAGACAGCAAAACTCCTCTGAACTTCAGAGAGAGTTTAAAGGACCCAGGAACTTCACCATCCAAAAGTGTCCAGGCATTTGACACTCATCTGAACAGAAAAAAGGACGCAAGTTAGTATTAGAGATTTGCATGGGACCCAGGTTGGCCAGGGGGTGGATCGACATAAAAAAAGAAATCCGAAATGCCCTGAGAAAAGTTTTTTTGGAATCACCATTTTCACTTAAGGCGGTCATCGCGGAAAAAATGATTTGAAAGAAGACGTTATTTTTTGAACTCCAACTGTGATTTTCAAAGACTTATTCGCTTCCAACAGAATCACAACCAACCACCGGCGTCTTGGTGAAGATTTTAAGAATAATTAATACTGTCAAATTATTCACAGGCAACTAACTCTCCCAGGTAAATCAAACATGTTTGCTGTTGAACTCTTTGAATGTTTAGAAATCCCAATTGGAAGCTTCAAAATCATGTGCAAATATTTCAAGGCGCTGCATTTGGTTACTTGCACACACTCGCTGTCCAAAACTCTCACTGGTCATTTTCAGGCTGGAAAATGAACAAACCGACAAGGATCCCTAAAACTCGGGTCCCCTCTCGCCAAGCCCTCAATATTCGAGGACTCCTTAGCATTCAAATCGCCAGCAAAGAAAAGCTTCCCCAAAGGCAGACTGAACAAGGAGAAAGTCCTCCCAGCCAGGTTGAAGTCACTGTCTAAATAACAACCCCCCCCCCAAAAAAAAAAAGTAAAACACACGAAAACACACGTTAAGGACACACAACGCCTAGGTCTTAAAAACCACAAAGAAAGTAAAATATACACACGTTTTAAGTTGGGAAGCTTCATACATTCTTTATGAACAACTCGACTTCAATTTCAGCTCTCAAAGGGAAACGCACAGAGATGAAGACGGGAGGGGAGAGGAGGGGGGAAACTCTTCCAAGTGCCCCAAGTGTCACGAATGACACCGCCGCCAACGGAGTTCTCGCCTCAAGAGCCGAGCTGAGCTCAAGTCCTTTCCCCGATTGACCGCACACCGAGTCGCAGCACCCCCGGGAAAACCGCTCCCACGCCACGGCCCGGGAGGGGGGTGGGGGTCCGGCAAAGTGAGATGGAACCTCCCGGCGGCAGCCCCCCTCCCATCCCCATCATCCCCATCATCATCCCCATCTCCATCATCCCCATCATCCCCATCATCCCCATCCCCGCAAGCAGGAGAAAGCACTGTCAAGAACTACTAACCCAAGTACCGCAGATGCCCTGCGTCCGGTGGCAACAATCACACGCGCGCACGCACACGCGCACGCACACACACACACACACACACACACACACTCAATGGGGGGGGGGGGGTAGGGGAAACACACTTTAAAAAAAAAAATCTTGCTTGCCCGGTGCAGAAACGGGAGACCAGCGAGTGTAGAGGCCCCCCCACCCCGGTTTCCCATGTGTGTGCACGCACGCTGAAGGGGTCGGGGGTCGCAGGGGGTGGGGGGGGAGGGCAGAGTGCAGAACGGATCTTCAAAAACAGAAGACTGTGTGCCGCACAAAAGGAAACACAGTTTTAAAAAGAAAGAAGAGCGAAAAAGAACCGGGGCGGCAGCGGAGGGGCCCAAAAAAGGACGCGCAGGAGGAGACCCCCCCCCCCCACCAATTCCCCCGTTTGGGGCAGCCGGCAAAAAAAAGAGAGAGAGAGAGAGAGAGGGGCCGAAAGGGAAAGGCATCGGCGGTGGGAAAAGTTGCCACCGTTGTAGCAGGAGGGAAAAAAAAACAAGACCCCCTAACGAGGCCCCCCCAAGTGAACAACAACAACAACAGCAGCAACAGCAACAGCAGCAACAGCAACAACAACAACAACAACAACACAAGCACCTCTCGGGCCCCCCCCCCCACCACCACCACCCCGCACCCCCCGCCCCCCTTGGCACATTGTTGTCTATTTCGCTCGGGCCCCGGACCGGGAATCCCGCCGCTCGGCCCGGGAGGAAAAGGCAAGAGCGAGCGAGGGAGCGAGCGGGAGAAAGGGGGGCGAAGTCTCCGTCTTCCCCCGACCCTCCTCCTCCTCCTCCTCCTCCTCCCCGTCCTCCTCCTCCTCCTCCTCCTCCTCCTCGGACCAGACCTCCGTGCAGGAGCTCCAGCCTCTGCAGCGGGCGACCGGGGCTCCCTCTCCCGCCGCCGGCCGCTCGCAGCCCCCTCGAGCTCCCGCCGCATCCCCGGAGCGCGGCCGCCCGGGGCCGGGGCCGGGGCCGGGGCCGGGGCCGGGGCCGGGGCCGGGGCCGGCGGGCGGGCGGGCGGGCGGGCCGGGCGGGCGGCGCGGCGCCCACACCCCCGGACCCAGAGCCGCGGGCGCGCACACGGCCCATTGTAAACAAGCCCGGGCGGGGGGTGGGGGCCGGCGGAGCCCCGCGGCCGCCCCCCGGGGTCGGGAGGGAGCCCCCCGCGCAGCCAGCCAGCCGGCCGGACTCGGCTCGCACCCACGGACACACACACACACGCGCGCGCGCTCGTGCATTCACACACAGGTAGAGACCGAAGCATATTCACCTTGGCTGTGGATTATTGTGGTGGTGGTGGTGGTGGTGTTGTTGGTGGGTGATGGAGATGGTGGTGGTGGTGGTGGGGAGGAGGAAGAGGAGGAGGAGGAGGAGGAGGAGGAGGAGGAGGAGGAGGAGGAGAGGAGTAGTTGTTGTTGATGGGTAACAGTCGCCAGGACTACGGTGGCTATGGCGCTTGATTCACAAGGCAACGGTTGCTATAACTCACAAAAGAGAGAGAGAGGGAGCGGGAGAGGGAGCGAGGGAGAGGGAGAGGGAGACGCGCGCGCGGGGCGGGCCGGGCCGGGGAGGGCCGCGGGCGGGCGGGCGGCGGGCGGCGGGCGGGGCGGGGCGGGGCGGGCGCAGGGGGCGGGGCCGGCCCGCGCCGCCGGAAGGGGCGGGGCGCGGCGCCCTGAGTGGCAGCGGCCCGGCCCGAGGCTCCGAGCGCGGCCTGAGGGGAGAGGGTCGCGGCCGGGGGCGCGCCTAGGGAGGCCGCGGCCAGGGGGGTCCTTCGCGGGGCGGGGCGCGAGCCGCCCCCCTGCCCCCGCCCCCCCCGAGTCGGCTCGGGGCCCAGACGCGCCCCCGCCCCTCCTCAGAGCCGCGAAGAGCGCCCGACGGGGAAGCCCGGTGGGGCTCGCGGGGGTCGCGGGGGTCGCGGGGAGGGAGGCGAGGAGAGGCCGGGCGCCCCCAGGCCCTCGGACGGGGTGCGAGGGGCGTGGGGCGCGAGGGGAGACGCCGGCGCTCCGCCAGCCCGCGGAGAAGCGCCTCGCCGCCGCCGAGGGGCCTCGACCCGCCCCGCCCCCGGACGTCACTTCCGGGGCGGGCGGCCCGCGCGTGGGCCCGGATGTGCGGCCGCGCGTCGCCGCCCCGCCCCCGCCCCCTGGCTCCTCGGGCGCCGGCGCGAGCCCCGGGGCGGCCGCCGCGGCCCGGCTCGCGGGGCGGAAGGGAGCGCGTGGCCCGGGCGCCACGCGGGCTCCTCGGACCCCGGCGCCGGCTGGGACGCCGGCACCGGCTCTCCCCGCCCTCGCGCGCTCTCGCTCGGGCGCCGCGCGCGCCGCCACGGGGCCTCGACTCCGCCGGCGACCGGGCGGGCGGGCGAGCGAGCGAGGGAGCGAGCGGGGCCGCCATCTTGGAGAAGGCGAACCGCGGGCGCACGCGCGCGCGTGTGTGTGGTGTGGTGCGTCTGTGGGGTGTGTGGTGTGTGTTTGAGGCGTGTGGTGTGTAGTGTATGTATGAGGTGTGTGGTGTGTGTATGAGGGGTGTGGTGTGTGTCTGAGGTGTGTGGTGTGTGTATGAGGTGTGTGGTGTGTGCATGAGGTGGTGTGTGGTGTGTGTATGAGGTGGTGTGTGGTGTGTGTATGAGGTGGTGTGTGTATGAGGTGGTGTGTGGTGTGTGTATGAGGTGGTGTGTGGTGTGTGTATGAGGTGGTGTGTGGTGTGTGTGTTTCAGGTGTGTGGTGTGAGTGTAAGAGGTGTGTAGTGTGTGTGTTTCAGGTGTGTGGTGTGAGTGTTTCAGGTGTGTGGTGTGTGTGTTTCAGGTGTGTTGGTGTGTGTTTGTGGTGTGTGTGTGTGAGTGTGTGGCGGCGAGGCGTCGGCTCCCTGCAGCCAGGGGCGTGGCGGGCTTGGGGAACTGGCACCTGCCGGGACTTCGCCCCCACCCCGCCCCCCGTGCGAGTCGCAAGTTCTCCTCAGCCCTCGCAGTCGAGCCGCCCGCCCGCGCCGGCCAAGTGCCCCGCCCCCTGCGGCCCGCGACCCGGCTAACGGGCCCTCGGCCGCGCGGGCCAGGCCGGGCTCTCGCCCCGCCCCCGGCCACCCTGAACCCGCGCGCGTCCTGAGCAGCCGCCGTGTGTCCTGGAACGCCACGCCCGGGGCCGGTCACGGGCGGCCCAGCCCCAGCCAGGACGGACGAAGGGCGCTGGGGAAACCCACGCTTCCATTCCCCGCGGTCCAGTCGGGGGTCTGGCGGGCACATTCCTCGGGCCGCGGAAAAGACCTCGAGCTTCCTAGTGGGGGCAGCTAAGCTGCTTATCGACACAATAACGGGCAGCCCAGCCCAGCCCGCCCGGGGCAAGTCCGTGGTCGCTGGAGGCTCAAGTTTTGCACCTGCACAACAAGGGAATTGCCCCCACCCCCGCACCCCGGGGAACGGCACAGTGCTCCGATAATAACAGCGCCCGTTCCCGAGTTCCTCCCCTGCACACGGCCACTGACTTGCATTCGCTCCTGCTCTCCGTCCTGTTTCCCCTTAGGAGATCTTGCTTTCCTTCTGCCTTGACGAGCTTAGACTGAGTTGAAAAGGGACTGGGAAGGGCGGTGTTGCATTGGGAACGGGACAGGCCTGACCAAAGACGGTGCTAGGGAACTTCAGCGCTGGTGGGTCCGAGTCAGAGCCGAAGGACCCTAGGGCCAGCTGCTGCTTAGCGCCCAGACTTTGAAACAGTTTTGCCAGAACAAGAGGGTGTCGTAAGTCCACCTGTGTGGAAACCGGGAGTCACTGGGAGTGTCCGTTTTCATTCCCTTGAACCGGTTCATTCCCTTTTCCCTTTCAAAAGGTCAGTTCCTCTGATCTCGAGTGCAGGCCCGTTGACTCAAGGCTCAACCAGCTCTGAAGAGCTTTGCAGTTTCCCACTTCTATTGTCTACTCCTCCTTGCCTGCCCCTTTCCTCGCCGTCAGCTGTTGCTGCTGCTTTGGGCTGTCAGTGAGCATAGTTCCATTATTCCCTCCCACACTTTTAATTTACTGCTTGTAATCTTCAGGCTGGAAAACCACATAACGACGCTCTTGCAAAACGGTGCCTCAAGAGCATAAAGAGGTGCTTTGAGGAACTCGCCTTTCGCAAAGGTGTGCGACCTTTTGTGCCAGGACATTGTAACATTAGTTTTAAGCGGCTTAGATACTTCGTGTGTGTGTTTTTCAACCTGCTTCCTGATTTGGCTTTTTCCCAAGTTAGGTATAAAGTTCATGTGCTGAGTTCTTTACAAAATGAGAAATTAGAATATTTTTCCCGGGTTGTTTTTGTTTTTGTTTTTGTTTTTTGCCGCCCCACCAAATCAGATAACCACACCTATATTTCAAGCTAAAGATTCTGAAACATATTGAACACATGTGTTTTATACTGTGACTCGAGAACAGCACCCAGAAATAACTGCCTCAGATCAGTTTTGATAGGCTCTCTTTTCATAACTATGCGAGTTTTTAAGCTTCATAGTTGCATCTTTGTGTGTATAATTTAGAAATAAAGCTCTTAACAAATCACAGGAAAGACCCGAGAATGTCTCGTGTATATCTGCACTGTCTGCACTCTCCTCCCCGTTGTTCATCGATTTGCTCTAGTGGGCACCAGTAATGCCTCACAACAAATTGTGAGACTTCTTGTTACTGTTTTTGGCATATTGAATACGTCAAGGGTAGCTCGCCAGATTTTACCATGCAGGGCGGGCGAGATACTCTTGGTAGCTTTATCTCACCTGTTGCAGTACACTACACATTGGACTCAATAAGAAAAGGTGCTTAGCAAAAAAAGATCTTTTATGCATACATTTAATAAACTCTGAATGCAGTAATTACTTGAGTTAAATAGACCAGACATGGTTCCTGTCTGTAAAGTGCTCTAAGACCATAATATACTTAGAATGTGTCCTTTGAACTTATATAATTCTTCGAAATTTTTTTTCGTTAGCTTTCCTCATTTTTGCAGTGACAGAATCACACACACCACACCTGAGTAGTGCTAGAACATTGTAGTTTTGCTCCCTAGGGAATCTCCCTATGGGCATAGTCACAGCGGGGGACTCCCAAGAAGTATTTAGGGGGCCTAAGAGCCACTCCTTGTACTTAGCCTGACCTATGGTGTGAGGATGTGGTGCTGCTTGAGGCCTGCTGTGGGGAGTACCCTCAGGGCCACCCTGGGGTGCTGAGACAACTCAAGGGCTATGCTCTCCAATTCTGGGAGTCTCTGTGGTACCAGAGATCAAACCAGGTTTGGATACATGCTAGACATGTGCTCTTTTTAGTTACAGTCCTTGCACTATATATGCTCACAGAGCAGAACTTACAAGTTGTATACTCGAACACATTCTGGTTGTAGTGATAGCAGTGTGGGGATAGGAGTCCCATGGTTGTACATTTCTGCACTTCAAGAATCTCGCTTTCTGTGATCAATGGAAAGTAAATCACCCAACGTTTCTCCCTGAAAATCAGGCTTAACTCTTTTGCAAACCACAACACCCAAAAGGAGAGAGAGAACAGAGGGGAATGCCCTGCCATAGAGGCAGGGAGGGATGGGGGGAATGGGGGGTGGGAGGGATACTGGGATCCGTGGTGATGGGAAATGGACACTGGTGGAGGGATGGGTATTCGAAATAATTTTTTTTTAAAATCTCAATTTCTGGCCTCGAGAATTTATATAATTCTTTCAGATTATTTTTCGTTACCTTTCCTCATTTTTTTGCAATGACAGAATCACCCACGACACCTGACTAGTGCTTGATACTTTTTTAGTTTCAGTGCTTGCCAAGGGTTACACCACTTTAATTGTGTTCTCACACACCCTACAATGTTGTAACAGAAAGCCATTTAGGAAACGGGATTAGAAAACAGCAGAGCTACCAGACACACAGAACCATCTCGGCATCATGCTCAGTGCCTGGGGCAGTGCTGATGAGCAAACATCTGGTCTCATTCTTGCAAGACAGGTGTGCGAAGCCCTGCCTTCTTAAATGGTGGATTACAACATCATGTGGGAGGCCAGTTTACTTTTGAAAAGTTTGTTTTAAAATAAAGTTTGCCATAATTACCAGTAGACGTTTGATTTGTGTATTTATATTCTTGTATACTTGATAGTGTCTAATAATTTCTCATGCAGAAAAAAAGTAACAAGAGGAAAACATTTATGAAGACTGAGTTACTGCCTCAGGCTCTAAATTCTTATTATTTGTTCATGGATTGCGTACTTTATATAATACTTTGGTGTGTTCTTAAGGGTAAATTGTCTCCTCCGTGTTCTCTGTTGTTACTTGCTCCTC